ACGATGTTTACCATGTGCTCATCAGAAAAACACTCTTTCTTCAAATTGTAGTCTATGGTGAACATGGTAGTAGCATGTCCCTTCGCTTCAAAAGAAAGGGCTGCGTTCAGGAATAAGCGAGTCGAGCCCGACATACCCTCGAAATTAGGATGGATTATGGCGATGCGCAGGGGCTTCTCTAGTGGCTTTGCTTCACGTTGGGGCTGTTTTGGCGGCATCGTTCCAAGTAATCCAAATTAGGAATGGTAGAAGGGTAAATTTTAAAGCGATTTACTTGGTGGAAATGCGACCAATAGCTGCGTGTCATCTGCTCTTAATTTTACGCAAGTGCGATAAACCGGGCCGATGCCAGGGTAAACACAAAGTTGGTGACTACCGGCAGGGGTAGGATTAGGTGGCACATATTTTATACAAAATTAATGACATTTGCGGTGTCGTAAACCGTTCTGATGACAATGAAAAAATTGTCTTTCTCGCCCTCAAAGTGCATATATTTAAGGTCGTTTTCCAAGAAAACCGCATCTTTTGGGGCATCCTCGGAAACCCAAATTGCTCTCCAGCCGCATCGAAGAGCCCCATAAATGTTTGACAAACTGTCGTCAATCAACACCGGAAAATGACCCTGCGGAGTAGAGGCGATTTTCGTAACGGCCCTGAAAAGGCTGAGTTGTGGCTTGCAAAGAAAATTTGGCACATAATAACCACAAAAAGCGATAAAAGTTATAAGTAATCGCATAAGCCTCAATTTGGCGCATTGGTTAATACAAATCGGCGATCGATCCAACTTCCATTAATAAAATTTGGTATTTGATCTCAATTTTATAAATCAAGTCTTAAAGTGCTGTTTTAAAAGCTCAAGGGCCTTGCTGCGATGCGAAATCTTATTTTTCTGTTCCTTTGTAAGCTCAGCGAACCTATATGAAAAGCAGAATTAAAACCAAACGATTTGTCGTCGCTTTCATCTGGGATGAATATGGAGTCCCAGCCAAATGAAGTAATGCCCTTTGGAGATAGAGCAATCTTTCCACGACATCGCCCTTGAAATATCAATGGCTCTTGCTCAGCAGAAAAGCAATACGCAAAAGTTGAGATAGCCTCTGCAGATCTAGTGGCAAATCCATCAAGGAGCCTACAGATTCCTTGGCATAAGAACATTGCGTAGGATACCTTCTGGCCCGTTCGCCAAGAGGAACCATTTAATATAAGGCCCTGACGATGAAAAACAAGAGCCAACCTGGTAGTTCGCCTCCAAATGCAGAAAATGTAAGGCTAGTGTCATCAGTGAGCACGGGCCTCCCAATAATCTTGAATGCCTCCTTTGACTTTGCCACAGCAATATCCCTTATGCAGCCCTGCATTTCAGGAACTATCGTTAACCAATTCAAGAGTACTATCCAAAGAGATGGCATCAACTTCAAGAACACCATTCAGAATTTGCTGAAGCTCGCTAAGTTTATTTGCATTCCCAGTAGCAAAAGCGATTCTCATGGAATCTGGTAATCAAATAAACGGGACTCTTCAATTAGTTTTCATTCGGGTAGGGTTTGAAATGGTAAAATTTAATAAATAAGCAATATGTGAATATCAGGGTGGAGGAGAGCGGTTTTTTAACATTTCACCACTAATGTCCTCTCTCGCGACCGTACACCCACATCCAGAACAATCGCCACAAGCTGCGTTCAATAAGTTGCTTGAGATCGAAGGGTCTCTCGATAGTATTGACACCCAGCGCTCAATTGAGATCGCCAACATCTTTGCAAACTATGATGAGAAGAAGCTGCCATTTTTACAAAAGCGGGATGCCATCATCAAGGCGGAAATCCCCGCTTTCTGGAGCATTGCTTTTAGAAACCATCCTGTTCTTGGCACACTTCTCGAAGAGGAGGACATTGCAGTCTTCTCATATCTGTCCTCTATCACTGTAGAGAAGATCAGTAGCAGTGGCGAAGGAAAACGGATTATCTTTACCTTTAATGCCAACCCCTACTTTTCTAATGCTACTCTTGTTAAGGAAATTAACGAAGAGGAAGGCACCAAAAACTATCCAATTGACTGGCTTCCTGGCATGGTATAAATGTGATTTATTATTCAATAGAACCTGATTGAGCCGACACAGGGCAATCAGAAGCGACGCCACACGGCCACAGCCTCCTTCTTTGCATGGTTTTCTGACGAAGATCGTGAGGTTGCAGATATAATTGCTACGGAGCTATACCCAAACGCCATCAAATACTACTCAGGAGAGTATTCACAGGAGGAGATTGATGATGATGACGAGGATCTAGAAGAAGATGAGGATGATGAGGATGAAGATGAGGGAGAGAATGAGGAAGATGAGGAGGAGGAAGATTCTGAGGGCGAGGAATAGTAACCACAATGGGCCTAGTAACAAATAAATGCCAACACTAATGTCGATACCCACGGATGCCAAATGGCGCAATAAAATTAGCAATCAGTTGGTCGGCTTGTTGCTTTCATCATCGTGCCAATGTCACGTCGATCCGGCTACTCGATACCAAAACCTTCGGACTCGACAATGGCGTTTGTGAGCAAACGTCGAAGAGTCTCCATATCTGGATATCCCTTGTGCAAGCAGAGCTGGTTGAAGCATGTCCGCCCAAGCGGGCGGTATTCGCCTCCACTGAGATTCTTCCAACTTGCATCTCTTCCCCAGAGACGAATAACCCAAGGGCCCTGTTGATTTGGCATGCCGGAATGGCCAGCAGCACCAGCGGCAGCCAGGGCAGCAGGGAGACGTCCAACACCCGTTACAAAGATGAGGAACTTGCGTCGCATTTCAGCAGAGTATGAGGTGAGAATATCCCAAAACCAGAGAGAAACTGGATGCTCGGCCGACAAGTATCCCTCATAGAGTGCAACGGAGCGTAAAAGATCGATACTGATCTCTGCAGGATCCCCAGAAAGTAGCTGCTTTAACTCTTGCGGCGAAAGCAGCGCAATTGTCGAACCGCTGAGTGTAGAGTAGAACGAGTCTCGAAACTTTGTCCAGTGGTTTCCTGGACGATGATGGAAGATATGTTCAAGATAAAGTGAGATGAAAATTTCGCGATTCTCCCCCGTAACAGCGATTTCGGATCCACGATTGGTAAGATCGATAATTTCTCTCTTTTCTGGGCCTGGTTTGGAAAATCCAGCAGTGAATTGAAGCTGAAAAACATCTTCAACCTCTGCTTCCCCGTGATAATCCAACAGCTGGCCAAGGCCGCGGGCAAGGGTAGGCGCAATTTCCCAGAGATCATCCAACGTGATAGAGGACATAGATTCCCCGTGTGCTGAAACGCATGCCGGTGGATTTGTGTCCGGGGAAAGCAATTTTTTGAAGAGTGCAAATGGAAGTCTATGGTCAAGTACAATTCCATTGTTCAAGGAGAGCCCTAGGATTGTCCCAAGTAGATGCACCAGTTCAAATACCCCTTGACTGCAATTTTCACCACTGTGGAACCAGACACAGGGTGCGTTCAGTTCAAATCCACAAATATCTGCCTGAAAAAGACCAAGGGTAGGATCCATCAGTGCATGTATAAGAAGCTGCAGCCATTCACGAAGCAAGCCCCCAGCATCGATTCCAGGCTCACCTTGAAACTCTACCTTGATCCTCCCACGAAGCTGTGGGGGGCTTGCATTGAGTAATTGGATAATGGACGCATGGAGCATCTCTCTCAGCGGTGATCGAGGAATCCTTACCACAAGAGGAATAGGGTATCCTGAAGCATATCCATTTGGGAAAAGCTCAGACTCCAGTAGCCTAGACTTGATTCCCAATGAGATAATTCCTGGGTGGTTGGCAAGAAGCATCTTTTTTTCTCCAAATAAGCGGAGCTGGCCCCGTGAAGCTAATAAATTTTTCAAAGACACTGAGCAGGTAGTCTGGTGCCAGTCCGCCAAAATAACCTCAATCGGAATCAAGTCGATGGCCATACTATAAAGTTCTGAGGGCTCCATTCGATAAACCCGTCCATTAGACTCTGAAATCATTTGCAGCATATAAGCGCCTGCAAGGATCACCCAATCGCCAGCAATTATTTTGGCCTTTGCCTTTGCAGAGCTGCAATTAGCACTAGAGATCCTTCCAATTCGCACATTGAGGGTCCAATTTGCAAGCTCCGCTAGTCGCCTTAAAAGTGGCAATGGAAGCGCGTCGAGAATTTTATTCAATATAGACGTGGAGGAAGCCGTTGATTTGAGGGCTTTTTCTTCCGAATGTGCCTTCCCTTTAGGAATTTCTTTTAGTGATTTTGCATGCAGCTCGATTTTATGTTGAAAGTCTTTTTTTCTTTTCCAGCAGGCCTGTCTTAAAAGCGAAAAGAGGCGTCTTGCAAGTGAGTGGTGAAAAGTGCCCTCCATCGACAATCTCTTCCTGGAGAGAAAAGGGGTCAGAAGGGCCACCAAAATCCACCTCACTGGGCTCGCTTCCTGTTCCATATTTAGCACACCAGGCCGTCTGACCAAATGGTCAAGAGAGGCCATCAGTGTTTGAGTAAAAAACGAGCACTTCATCTCAGTGAGTTGAAAGTAAAAGTTATTAAAAGATTCGCTATCGATTATCGTCTTATAATCATGATCACTTTGAGTCCTTCTTGAAAATGCTAGCCCCAGAACAAATGACGATGAGAATCCCGAAAATAGAATAGAGCGACCCTCTTCCAAATCTCCGCTTACATGAGCGGCTATCAGAGCAGAAGTAAACTCTGCCGTTCCTGGAATAAGACTTTTGTCGATCGATACTGAGAACTGTGAAGTATACATGTGTGTAAGTGAAAGGTCCGTAATGGTTTCACATACGCAGCATAAAAAGCAGTCCGAATATGGAAAGGCGTTTATGGTCCCGCAACATACACATGAGTGTCTGCGTTTTTTCTTTTTTTCCCGTTTTTTCATAAAATATTCCTACAGGAAATAAACGGCTACGAAAGGACATGATTGTTATTGCAATTGATTGGAATTAGTCTCGACCAATGGAATTAGTCTCGACCAATGGAATTAGTCTCGACCAATGGAATTAGTCTCGACCAATGGAATTAGTCTTGGCCAATGGAATTAGTCTTAGCCAATGGAATTCAAAATTTTGCATCAATTTTTACAATTTATTTTTGCATAATTTTAGGACACCAATTTGGAGTTGTAAATTTTTGGGAGAAGAACTAAAAGCGTTGACGTGAAATTCAAGGCAAAGGCAAGCATGCCATAGCGTGAGTTGTGCGCGCTAAGTAAGAAGAGCGCAATTGGGAGTACAATTAAAAACCGCTTTGTCCTTGCTGCCTTGATGGCTGATCGCCTTGTTCCCCCGATAACACTGTCGGGAATCTCTCTCGGAGAGAGCTGGGGAGAACCGCATATTACCCGCTTCTTTTTGGTTCTTAGTCCTATTGGCCCTTCCTCTTCTGCCGCTTCTAATTGTTCCCAAAGCGTGAGGCATGCATATTCGCCCTGAATTCCAGCATCGTCGAACGGAACCCCTTTAATCCTGTGGAAAAAGACCCAGCAGACGACGTTGAAAACAACAGTTGTTAGCGTCCAAGATGCCTCAACTCCAACTATATTTGCCGAGAATGTTAGCTTAAGGAAGATAACCAGAACCAGGCTTGTTACCCAAATTCCTCTCTGGCTAAGCCAGGCCGCATTTGGGTTTTGCCTTTCCATGTTAAAAATTTTGGTTTGATAGATCTATCAAACATCAGTCAAAACAAAATGAATAGAGTATTTTGTGAACCTTATTTTTACTATGACCGAATTTTACCCAGATTATGTGCCAAAAAATAAAGGCCGATCTGAAAACCGCAGTTTTTTGAGTGCAATGAAGCGTGGTTATTTGAGGCTCGAGCTTGCCACCTCTTTTTACATGCTCGAACCGATGGAAAAAATTGTTGCATATATGATTCTGTTTTTCCTTTTGGCAATTCTACTGCATCATTCGGTTACCATATGGCATTTTATAAAATACTTTGCCAGGGGTTTGTTTTCCGTCTCGCTATCATGTATTGAAAAGATCAAGGCCGGATAAATACCCAATGTCGAGTCAACCTACGATTTGATAAATGGAGTTAGCACAACTTTAGTCCACGAAAACGAATTCGGGATTAATAAACTTTAATTTTGCTGCAAGAATTTAATTTTCACCGGTGGTGGTCCCCATATGATATTCGATGTTCAGGCATCTACCTAATTCCAGGCTGCTCCCCATCGGAAAACATGGGGCTTTCAACTCAGACGACATCGTGAACAATTATTTCTTTGATTCCATAAACCTTAATGGCATACTTTCTGTATTTAAGCCTTCCCTCCGAATTACAAATCCATTTGTTTACAATTTACATACCAAATTATGGTCGGCATACTGCAAGTCTCATCCAATTTCTTTCGGAAGCGAGGGTGCGCAGCGGAACGCTTCAAAACGGCATATTCTTTCTGTTTTGGGCAAAATTGGACACGGTGGAACCTTGGATCCAATGGCACAGGGTATAGTCGTCGTTGGGCTGGGCTCCGGTACTAAAAAGCTAGGAACTCTATTGCAAGGCCCCAAGGTACAGATGTTTGAAATGTTAACGTCAATAGTCCTATACGGCAATCATGAAATTGGGCGAAGGTACCGATACCCTTGATGCCACTGGAAATATAGTCGATCGCTCGGAATCTCTTTCTCGTGACATATTTGACCCAACTAGGCTTCAGGATGTGGTTAGGAAATTTATTGGCCACAATATCCTCCAAGTCCCGCCAAAGTACTCACTTTTCATCTCTTATCGTCCCAGGTTTTCAGCATTGAGAGTTAATGGAACGAGGGCATGCGACTTGATGAGGAGGGGAATTGAGATTCCCGACTTGGATGCCAGGCCCGTTACCATTAATAGTATTTCGATTGTCAATGTTGACCCTCCTTTTATTACACTATCTGTTGACTGCATGGGGGGCACATATATTCGATCGCTAGTGCGAGATATTTCGGCAGAGCTCGGCACGTTTGGCATGCTCACTTTTCTTGAAAGAACCAGAATTGGGCCCTTTCACATCCAGGATTCCATTAGGGATCTTTCTATCTTCGAGCATGATTTGGAAGCGGTAAGGAAAATTTCGGAGCAAGGAGCACTCCTGCTCGATGAGTATATTTATTCAAGACAGCACACAAATGTAACTATATAAAGCTATTGTGGACACAAAGCAAATTCCAAAAAGTTGTTGTGCGTGTTAATGATTGACTGTGCCAAGTCCCAATTTTTACAATTTGACAGTATTCCGGCAACAGATTCAAGGTCACTAATGTAAGTTTGATTGCACGCTTCGTCGTCAGATTCTATTAATATCCTGTTATCTGGCATTTCCAAAATAAGTCGATGCAGCTTCGCCAGTGGAAGTCTTCCTGACAGCCTTTGAGAAACGCCAAGAAATACATTGGTATCTTCCCCAAAGGCATTTCGCAGCTGGCGAAGCTGGGTCAGGGAGCCTGTAAAGGAATGCAGAGAAATCGAAGGGGGTCTACAAAGAGGAAATGCCAG